TGAAAGGACTATTATCTTTATCTTCACCATTATGCTGTTATTTTTCTGTGTGATTTTGTGTACAATAAACTTTTCGAAATAGTTGCTATTGCTGAAGTATATATAATAAAACTATAACCGTATTGATTTAGCATTAGCAATTTTATTGAGTTTTGTTATCACATTAGTATTATGAGTTATAAAGGCTACTTGGAAAAACTTGGTTTTTTCTGATATTTTAAGAATATTGCGCCAGAGTGTAGATAAAAGTGTTGAACTATTTACATTTGAGACAAATTTCCTCCAGTTAGTTTTTTGGACAATTTTTGTTATATATCTATCATATGCTCTCTCCTTTTTGTATTCAATAATGTTAGTTGCGTTATTATGTTTTTTCATTTTGTTAAAAGGTACTTTATCTTACTTGATTGCGTTGTGATATTCTGTGTTCCACCATGGTAGAGGTCTGTATTTCCTTAATATTTTAGTTTTGTCTATATATGTTTCTGCCGGGTATATAATCATATCAGTAAAAATGTTTCATTTATATCAGTGTTGTCAAAACAGGAGTCTTGTGAATCTATGTTTATTTCTATGGCCTCAGCGTCTTTATTCCAATTAGCGTTTATCAGGTTCCATTTTCGGATTGGTTGGTACTCAGAGGTAATATTACAATAAAATACAGATACTTTTATTCGATAATGGTCGCTCCCATATAAAAAGGGTAGAGGATCCAAGTTAAGTGCGATTGAAATAGTTGGTTTACTAATCTATAGATATAATAGTTAGGTAGATAGATATAATATAGTAGATTACGGATGATGTACCATTACGTACATTAAATCTGGTTGGTAGTCCGTCATTGAAAATAATTAAATTTTATGTTGTTAAAAAGTCTTTGATTAGCCTGCCTTTGGTATTAAAATTTACTGCATACATTTTGTTTGTGCTTCACTGATGTTATTAACATAAATAACCCCTCCACTACTTGGTTTTTCCTAATTGTTACTGATAACATCTTTAGCTTCATTAATGTTTTTAAATAAATTAACTGTTTCTTCGAAGAATAACATTTATTTTTCGGAATCGAATAATTCTTTAATTGGCTGCATAATAATTTCTAAAGGCATTCTCGATGTTTTTGTTTTTATTCTTCTTTGTTCCTGGGTTGGCTTTGAAAATACGTTGGCACTAGCTGTTGTTTTAATGGAAGGTGTTATTGCTTTAGATATAGTTCGTTTGGAGGGTAAATTTAGTGTAATTTTCTCGTTGGATATGCTAAATTCTTGTGGTACCGGACAGTCTTTATTTTAATTAAGAGGACTAAAAATATTTGTAGACTGGAAAATGAAGTCTGTTTAGTAATGCTTGTATGAGATGTTGTGGTTGGTGAAGTGGATGTATTTATTTTGGATAATACTGATATTGCACCTGTATTCAAGGTATCGTACGTTGTTAAGTAGCTTGTAGATGATGTTTTTGAAGGTGACGTTGAGATATTTAATATATTTGTAGAAGTACTTGTTATTGAAGGTGTCATAGCAGTCGTTATTGCTAAAGATACTGCAGTAGATTCGTTTCTATTTGAAATGTAGTAGTTGGGACTGCTGCGTCCAAGTTATCTATAGTTACTGAGCGACTGGAAATGTGGCCAATGTTGTTTGCAATAGAACATACATTGTCAAATGTTAAAAAAATCTATTGTTAATGTCGTAATACGTTATAACAATGGAATTGGGAATTGGAATTGTGGGTAGGGATATGTAAATATGTCCACGGAAACTAAGTACATGTTTGTATTCGGGATTGGTGGATTCTATTCGCAAAAATGACATTTATGAAGTTAGTTTTAGCCATAAAGATAAGTTTTTTTTCCATTATCTTATGCGGAGTCTACAGAATCTACAGTGGAAGATACATTGTTTGAGTTATTCTTGATGAAAAAGAGTATGTTTTAGACTAACTAGAGTGCCTATCGCTAACAAGTATTCGTCGAATTTGACATTATTAAGAAATATAAGATCTATTGCTTGTACTTTTGATGGATAGATTGGTTGTTGTTATTTGCTGGCTGCAGCTGAGTAAGATAAAGGTGATTGTAAAGTAAATTGAGATCATTCATCGATATTCCCACTAACATAAAATTCCGTTTTTAATCACCATTTGATTATCTTAAATACGGACCTGTTCCGTTTCAGGTTTTGGTAATTACCTTTGATGACAAAAACTACTTTTGATTAATGGCTGGTCTCATTTATGTACTGTTTCTAAGATACTGTGATCACGGATTACTTTATTAATAATAAAATATGTACTCAAAGATCATATTTTTTGGATGCACAATGAAGTAACACTGTACGATAGTGCATGGCAAGAATTTTACGATTGTTAGTACTCTGTTTATTTCACCATTTGCCAGGATCGAGTAAAATAGCGTCTATGCTTATTCAATATCGGCGCCGCACTTTCTTATTTAAATTAATTAACCGTTGAATTTGGGATAAAAAACACTTTTATCGGACCAAACCTTCACTACCTTGATCTATTTAATTTTAGCGCCCGTGATGACGTCACAGCGCCCGTGATGACGTCATAGATCTCATGTACATTCATTGATAATATTGTAGGTCCAATTGATATTTCCCAAAGTTCAATTGTTGAACAAAACAATTCAATATGTATACGTATATATATATATATATATATATATATATATATATATATATATATATTTTCTTTTTTTTTTTTTATTATTCTGTCAGGTGAGTAAAGTATGTCCCCAATCTTTTGTACACAAAATTTGCTATCACTATGTTAAACTGTCTGAAAAGGTTTGTGATCTGTGATGATAAACCTTTAATGTAGATGGGAGATTGCCTTACATCAAAGGTTTATCACCACAGATCACAAACCATTTCAGACAGTTCAACATAGTGATAGCAAATTCTGCGTACAAAAGATTGGGGACATACTTTACTCACCTGACAGAAAGAGTTAAAAAACTGGATAACTTCAATGTAGTGTATTCTATTCCATGTGGTTCTTGTTCAGAAGTGTATGTCGGTCAAATCAGCCAGAAACTCTCAAAAAGAATAGCTTTGCACAAGAGTGATGTAGTGAGGAAGCCTACCAGCACAGCCTTTAGCCATTAAGAATACTGGACACACTGCTAACTATGAAAATGTGCAAGTACTAAAGAGGGTTGACAACCAATTTAAGAGAAACTTCATAGAAATGTGCTACATCCATAACTGCAGCTCTCCTATGAACTGTAAGAAAGATGTTGAAAACTTAAGTTGTATTTATTCCTTTCTACTTCAACAGGACTTGACAAGAAGTAACAAACTGGAGAATGTAGGGAACTTATCATAACATGCGTAGATTACCTACCTGTACTTGAGAAAAGACTTCATTTCCTTGCTGACTATGTTTCCTAGGGCTCTTTCTTTTCATATCCATGTGGTGTGAAGTGCAAAAGTGAAAATTATAACCTCGTTACATATGACACCCGGATATTGACAGAAATGTCATCAAAAAAGAAGATTAATTCTTCTTTTCTACCTTTAACATGAAGTTGCAGTTTTTGTAGGTTGTAAATTTTAGACTTTTTTGTTGTGTTTGTATTTGAAAAAATACCCTGTTGTGTTGTAATGTTTTTATTCAAAGTTTTAAATGTATTTTTTAATATTTTTAACATGTTTGTGACAATGTTCTTCACCACTAGGACCAACTGAACATTTTCAATGTAGGTTTTTAAATGTTGATTTCCACCACTTGTACTATAATAGGTTTTCCATTTAGGTGCTGATGGAGGTGACAACATATCACCGAAAATTTCACATTTAGAATAAAGTTCTACACCAAACTGGCTTATACCATCTCTAGCTGATCCTTGTTTTGACGCTTTCCCGAAAGTTACCCTCCAAAGAGGAGTATATATATATATATATATATATATATATATATATATATATATATATATATATATATATATATATATATCACATTAACTAAAACTACAATATGTTAGTCAAAAATAAAAAGGAAAAAAGAGATAGGTACACGTCTTAATAATATCCTAGAGAATAACCAAGGGTAAATCAAATCTGAAATCTATAATTATTGTTGTTAAACATGTAATAACATGTAATAACTGAATAGTAAATTACTGCAGAAATGAAAACTGTAGTGGAATGATTAAGTTATTGGTAAAAATTTATAAAACACCGATATCAATAAATCGGACCACAAGGTAAAAGAAAAACTGGAAAATATAAAATAAAACAACTTAAAAAGATGCAGAAGATGTCATGATAATTATTATACACCATAAATTGGAAAATGAGACGAGCGAAAAAACATATTTATAGGCCGTAGATGAAGTGGAAAAAGTTGTAAAAAAGGAAACTATTTAAAATGTCTTTAAACTTTACGCCAGATTTTAACTAAGCACATCGTGTAAATTTTAGCTATATGTACTTAAATAATTTTTAAATAGTTATAATGACACTAATCTTCAAGAAATATTTTAAACCATACTCGTATTTCTGCTTTTATATTGTATTTGTTAGATAATATTATAGGATTCTGTTTAGCTGAAAACGGTTTAAATCAGCAAACTGTCCATCAATTTTCAAATTGCCAATGAAATGTCCTTGCGTCTATAAAATATCTTGCACAAATATCCGTGAACAATGCTCTTAGCCAACCATCCGAGGAAAAAGAACAATAACGAAACAATACTTAAAATCCATAACAAAACAGCGACGATGTTAGGCGACCGCCGATAGTTTCCGGCATTTGCGAAACCGAGAGTGTTTTGCTGCCCCCCTCCGGCACCCATTCACTTCCATCGTTAGCACTGCCGCATCTGATGTTCGTCCAGTTACTCTGTTTTCGTACTGTAAAGAACCGCTCTGTGGCCGTGTTGTGTAAAATAGTGTAGTAGTCGTACCGAGAGTGATAAAATTGAGTGTAAGGGTGTGAAATAAAAACGGGACTCGGATTAGCATGTGCCAGGCATGAGTTTTGTTATCACGACGAAGGAAATGGAATACCAACTACCCGCCCCCCCGATCAGTACTACAACTCCAGCGCCCCTGGGCCACCAAGTGCCGGTCGGGGTGATGCAGGGAACTTTGACGCACGTCCAAACGACCCAGCAGGACGAATCGCACAGGTGGACGCAATACCAGCAGCTGTGGAGGCAGCATGTTTACATGAACGGTACAGTGGTGCAGTTTTTTTCCGGTGGCGGAATTTCTATTTACTTCCTGAAATAAAATTGTGTTGAAAGTGAAAGTTTCGCTGTTGGTTTCCTCGTTACCTACGGCTAATCAAGTAGTTACAGCCTGCTATTCTAATCCCGCACTATTACGCTTATATTTTGAGTTTCATCTATTCTTAAGGAAAAAACAGCCGATTTTATAATCTCTTGTTATTTCCGTTTACCTGTTTTCCATAAAAGTATAATACGGTTATATAGTGAAGAGACTACTTATGGAATACATATAAGGGGATATTTTAGAAAACTTATCTAAAGAGTTTACTTAGCAAATGACAATTTTTTTTAGTGAACAGTTCTTCAGTTAAATCCGCTGTTTCTTAAATTTCCTTTTTATTTATTCTTTTACGTTATTTTTAATTCACATTTGGATAACTGCCTATATTTGCCAATTTTATTTAGATTAAAGTTATACGATGTGGTAAAAAAAGTAGCTTGGTGGTAGCTTTAGGGAAACCCCTAAATATCTTTTTTATCTGTATAGGAAGTGTACAGGGATTATCTATTTATTGAGATTTTTGTAACTGTATGCGTATGGTAAAAAGCTTTTATAATAATATATCTTAATTACGACAAAATACACCCTTGTTGAACATCCTTGTTTAATAATATTTATATCTTAAATATTTCCTCCAATGTTGACTATTTTTCTCAGTTCGATATTTTATAATTCGATTTATATGATTTGAAGTAATGATTTTGATACACCAATCTTCCAAAAAATTTAAATAGTTTTTTTGTGTGTAAAACTACAAATATTATCTTCTAATAAATAAACTAAATTATAATGATTTGGACATCATCGCATTTGAGTTTTATTCACTGCAAGAATTATATTTCTTTTTTGCGTTTCTCCATGTTTTTCTATAGCTGTATCTGTTTTTTATGCAAATGTACTTCTGTTTTTTGAGATTTCCTTATTTTGCTTTTGGAAATATACACTTTCCACTTCGATTTAACGTCTATTAGTCTTTCAGCTGTTTTTTGGTAATTAGTGTAGCAATTTTCAGTATACAATTTTTAACGATCAACAGTATAAGACCTCAGTTCTTATTCGCATCTCAATGTACAATTTAGGTATATAGCGTATTTAGTTGGTGAATGTTAACATCTTCATATTTGGAAAAATAATCTGCACGGTAAATGGATGAAATAGTTGTTATTAATATGTAAATGATTTAGGTGGTCAACGTTAGCTGTAAGAAATATATTTCTATTTAACATTTTTATTCACCAACACTATTTACAATTTTTTCTCTTTTTTTAAGTTTTAATTCATACAATTAGTGTAAACATCACGTCGATAGTAGTATGAATGTAGATTATATTATACGTCCTTGTTTTTGTCTTCTTTTAACAACTATGAGTAATACACTGCGCTCCAAAATTAACGCATAATTTTAAAATTCTTATTTTGAGTTGTAATGAAAAAAATTTTGTTTGTTCTTTTCTGCTTTATGGTTGTTTTAGAACATCTTAAATAAGACTATTTTTTTTTTACAAAAAATGTATTGAAATTAACGATATTACATCCTAACATAAATCATAACATCTCAACGAACTGATCTAAACAAACTAACATCATAAATTAATGAAGAAAAAGTTTTTAAAGTTGAAGAAAATACTACTACCGTGTACTACTATCGAGTATTGCCTCCTCTGGCATTTATTACTACTTGACAACGATCTCTCATACTGAGAATAATCGTTCTGATTTCTTCTTGATCAATTTGATCCCAAATTTTAACCAACCGCAAAAACAGTTCATCTAATGTGTTTGGTGCATTAGGTAGTTGTCGTAGTCGTCTGCCTATGATGTCCCAAACATGTTCTATTGGGTTAAGGTCAGGACTTCTCGCAGGCCAATCCATGGCAGGAATTCCAACCTCCTGACGATACTGCTGCACAATTATTGCCGTGTGTGGCCTGGCATTATCTTGCATAAGCATAAAATTATCCCCAATAAATGGTGCAAATGGCACGACATGCTCTTCTAAAATGTCTGTTATATACCTCTGCGATGTAAGCCGACCGTGATTTATTTTAACTAATTCCGTACGAGCCTCTAAATTAATCCCACCCCATACCATTACCGAGCCGCCGCCATACTGTACAGTTCCTACGGTGTTACACTGTGCGTAGCGTTCCCCAGGCCTTCTATACACTCGGTTTCTCCTGTCATCAGAAAAAAGACAGTACCTGGATTCATCGGTGAACAATATTCTTCCCCAATCGTCATTATTCCAATCAACATGTTCACGAGCAAAATTCAATCTTTGCCTTCTATGGTCTCTGGTCAATAATGGGCCAATTGGTGCCCTTCCAGGGTGTAGGTTGTTTTCGCAAGTCTTCTTCTAATTGTATTTTGGCTGATTCTAAAGTTATAACGATCCAAAAATTCATTTTGTAGAGAAGTACTGGAAACAAACCTTTGTCTCAGTGTACGAAGTGTCAAAAACCGGTCATGATTAGGAGTTGTAACCCTTTTACGGCCTTGACCGGGTCTTCTCGAGTTACTTCCAGTAACAGAAAAACGTGTTAACACTCTTGAAATTGTTGACTGGGTGACGTTAAAACGTTCAGCGAGTTCTACTTGAGTGTATCCTTCTTCGCGAAGAGTAACGATTCTAAAACAGTCACTTTCTGACAAATTTCGATTTTCTTGCTGCGGGTGGTTCATTTCAAAGAAAAAACACTTAATAAACTTGAAAAACCCCTTTAAACGTTCATCACAATGAAATCCAACCCAACTAAATTCGAAATAAAATGAAGAACAATTAGCATGTCGGTAATTTTTTGCAAAAAAATGATAAAAACATCAGCATTTTTTACCGTTCTTTCGATAAATTTTACAATATACCGGGGGTAACGATAATATATTAGCACAAAAATCGAAACATTAAAATTATTTAATTTACCAGGGTTTTTAAAATTATGCGTTAATTTTGGAGCGCAGTGTATGTTAATATTATACTAGGCATTTTCAATAATCTTCACACATCCACATTACAAAATGCCTAATATCTCGACTTATATTAAAGTTGTATTAGTGAGGGATTTTCTTAAAATTTGTCTACAAAAGTGCTGATCAAGAATATGTCAATTTTCGTTTAATTCCTTAATTTAAGTATGATTAAAGTTGAAACTAGCAAAAATTACTCATTTTATTTTTCGAAATATCTACAAATTAAATTTAAAAAAGTACATTTTCTGGTTAATTTGAGAACGCTGATTAAGAATCTGCATCTGCACAATTTTTGTGGTCCGGCTTTTAGGTAGCGAGATATGAACAATCAAAAATCAGTTTTGAACTTTTAAAAACAATCTGATTTGCACTAAATAGAAAGTGCAATTTAGAATAAAAATGATTGCAAAGAATGTATTTCTTTTTTCACCAAACCTTATGTCATCTAACCAAACCTAATCTAACCTAATCTAACCTAACCTTACCGAACCCAACTAAAGTTTATTAAACTTACCTAACTTACCTACTTACATACTCGCTCGTTTTGCTCACACCATGAACTATTATTTTTGTCACCCATTAAGTTTTATTTTCGATATATATATATATATATATATATATATATATATATATATATATATATATATATTTATATATATATTTATATATATATATATATATATATATATATATATATATATATATATATATATATATATATATAGATACCTTGAGGCCAAATCACAGATTGTAGATTCGTAATAAGCCTTTTTTAAAGTTAAAAATTTATTTTTTTGCTATTTTTTAACTTGAATAGTCGCGTTGATGATCAGGAACTAAAGATTTCACGTGAACAATAATGTCATATTTGGACTCAATACCGTTGACTTGACTTTTTAGAACTCAGATACCGTCGAGAAAAATTAAATAAAAAAAATAAAAGTTAAAAGTTTTATCTAGTATGTACATAAAAAAATATTCACCCTTAGTATAGCGAAAAACCCCACCGTTTTTTATAAAGAACACCAAACTTTGGTAACCAAAACTCAGAAATAATATTTTTTTACTATATAAGTTTTTAAATATAATACTAAAGGTATTTTTAATACAGGTATTAAATATTTTTGGAATTTTAAAATTTAGTTAATATAACTAGATATATATATATATATATATATATATATATATATATATATATATATATATATATATATATATATATATATATATAGAGTGTGTGTAACGACGCTAAGAATACAATTCTTTGGAGGGTAACTTTCGGGAAAGCGTCAAAACAAGGATCAGCTAGAGATGGTATAAGCCAGCTTGGTGTAGAACTTTATTCTATATGTGAAATTTTCGGTGATATGTTGTCACCTTCATCAGCACCTAAATGGAAAACCTATTATAGTACAGTGGTGGAAATCAACATTTAAAAACCTACATTGAAAATGTTCAGTTGGTCCTAGTTGTAAAAAACAGTCACAAACATGTTAAAAATATTAAAAAATACATTTAAAATTTTGAATAAAAACATTACAAACAACAGGGTAGTTTTTCAAATACAAACACAACAAAAAATCTAAAATTTACAACCTACAAAAACTACAAATAGAAAAGAAGAATTAATCTTCTTTTTTGATGACATATTTCTGTCAACATCCGGGTGTCATATGTAACGAGGTTATAATTTTCACTTTTGCACATCACAACCACATGGATACGAAAAGAAAGAGCCCTAGGAAACATAATAAGCAAGGAAATAAAGTCCCCTCTAAAGCACAGGTAGGTAATCTATGCATGTCATGATAAGTTCCCCACATTTTCCAGTTTGTTACTTCTTGTCAAGTCCTGTTGAAGTAGAAAGGAATAAATACAACTTAAGTTTTCAACATCTTTCTTACAGTTCATAGGAGAGCTGCAGTTATGGATGTAGCACATTTCTATGAAGTTTCTCTTAAATTGGTTGTCAACCCT